AGAAATTGGACTTGGGCTTGCTAAACCAAAACTTGAGCAAATCCAAATCAACAGACCCAGATCAACCCAAAGGTAGTAAATAGATAAATAAATATAGTCACATAGAACAATAAAATCAAAGCAAATCCCAGGAACTCTCCAAAACAGAGCAAGTACAAACTCACAAAAATGCAAATCACCCCCAAAAAGGATAAAAGTATAACAAATAGCCTTCCCACAATAAAGATCCAACGTTTACTCAATACCTATCAAAGTCACCAAAAGACAAATAGAGGAGAAACTAAAAACAAATATACAGAGGCTTCTTCCCACTAAAATTAGTGAACAATTTTACAACTACAAACCAACCAAATACAATAAGAGCTGAATTTGTGGGGGTAAACAAGACAGAAATTCTAATTCATATATGTTACAAAGAGAGAAATATAAACAAAGAACCTGGTGGGTAAAACCAACCGTGGAGTGAATTGATGGAGGCGGCAACGATCGATGGTGCTTGTGGCTTCGAGTTCAATCAATGGAGAGGCAGAGAGAGAGGAGGCGGCGAGAATGAAGTGAATCGATGGAGAGAGAGAGGAGGCAGTGACGATCGATGATGCTTGTGGCTTCAATGGCTTGCGGCTTTGAGTTCAATCGATGGAGAGGCAGAGAGAGAGAGTATGTGTGTGTGGACTGAAAACGAAGAGGGAAAGATAGGGAAAGAGCGAAAGAAGGAAAAAGATTGGGTAAAGAAAAAAAATGACTAAAACGACTTCGTTTGCTTTTTAAAAAAATTATATTTGGCGATGTAAATAACAAAAACATTGCAATTTACTATTTTTATTTTATTTTAACTTTAAATGTGATTATAATTTATATTCTGCGATGAAAATAAAAACATCGTGATTTGANTTTTTAAAAAAAATTATATTTGGCAATGTAAATAACAAAAACATCGCAATTTACTATTTTTATTTTATTTTAACTTTAAATGTGGTTATAATTTATATTCTGCGACGAAAATAAAAATGTCGTGATTTGAAGTTTTTTTATTTTACTTTAACTTTCAAAAGTGGTTATAATTTATATTCTACGATGAATATAAAAATGTCGCAAATTAAAATTTTATTTTATTTTTAATATTCCCAAAAAACTTATAAATATTGTTGACAAACTTATAAAAAACATCGGGAAGTAATATTTTTATTTTATTTTTACTTTAATAAATAAAATTAACATTCTGCAATGAAAAATATTTTCCCTACAAATATTTTCACTGAGCAACATTACTTTTTTCCCTTTTTTCACATATCAAATACAAAAGGTATAGAAAATCACCAAAACCTGTCCCTCCCCTGGCCTGTCCAATACCTTTGCCAGATTTCGACTTGGGATTGACTCAATCTACAAAACAAAAAAGTGAAAAAAAGAAGAAAAAAATAAAATTAAGGGAAAACCCTCTACTTTCTCTGCCGACATCTACCAAAATGACGGTCAAGACAAAACAGTTTTCCAAATCCACAAAGTAATAGTTAAAGACCAAAAAATTAGACACCCAAAACCACTAATCCCAAGAACTTAACCAAGTAATTGCAAATATTTAATAAGTTAAAAAAAAATAAAAAAATATGAGACTCACAAAAAGCATACAGAGTCTGCACGTTAATGTGGAGATGCAAAAACTCACAGAGTAATTCCCCAATGGGATCTTTACCTCAGCAATGGGAGGGCAGGAAATAATCTGATTCGAGAGTGAGGGCAAGAAACACTCCAGTTCACAGGGGGAGGGGAACAAAGAGAATATATGAGAGAGAGAGAGAGAGAGAGAGAGAGAGAAAGATAGATAATACTATGTGTCGATTGAAATAAACACAGAGGGAGATGTGTGGAAAGTGAGAAAGAGGGAAAAAATGATGGGGCAATGGATCTCGATTTAAGTACGAAGTTTTTTTTTTTAAATGTCCAAAACGGCGTCGTTTTGAATTTTTTAAAAATAAATTTTGTGACGAACATAAAAACATTGCAATTTAATATTTTTATTTTATTATAACTTTAAACGTGGTTCTAATTTATATTCTACGACGAAAATAAAAATGTCGCAATTTAATATTTTTATTTTATTTTAATTTAATTTTTGATTATTTATTTTTGAGACAAAAAAAATTGTCATAAAAAATATTTTCATTTCTCGCCATCACTCAAGCAAAAAAAAAGAGAAAGACAATGACAATTTCGCGACGAAAAAAAAAAAGTCACACATTAAATATTTTGACTTTATTTTAATTTTAATTTTAGATTATTTATTTTTGCGACGAAATAAACTATCTATGACAATAAAAATTTTGTCATAAAACATTATTAATTCCCGCCATTTTTCACGCAAAAAAAATGACGTTTTTTAAAAAATGTTGCAAAAAATTGTCAAAAAAAACTATTTGCGATGAATATTAAAAAGTCACAAAATAATAATTTTATTTAATACAAAAATAAAAATTATATTCTGCAGCGAATTTATAAAAACGTCGCTAAAAAATAAATATTCCAGACAAAATAATAAAAAACGTTGCTAATTAATATTAATATTTTATTTTACTTTAATAACTAAAATTCAATTTTTGTGACAAAAAACTTAAACGTCGTGAATTATATATTTTTACTTTATTTTTATTTTTATATTATTTATTTTTGCGACGAATTAAAATTATCTGTGACAAAAAATTTCTGTAGTAAAAAATATCAATTCCCGCCATTTTCTCGCGGCAAAAAAAATTGGGAGGGAATCACCTTTTCATGAGGTGTTTTAAAAAACGTCGCAAAAAAAATTGCCAAAAAAATTATTTGCGACAAAATAAAAAACGTCTCAATTAATATTTTAATCCTAATTTAAAATTACAAAAAAAATTCTAATTTGCGATGAATATTAAAATGCTGTGAAATAATAATTTTATTTAATAAAAAATAAAATTTATATTCTGCGATGAATTTATAAAAACGTCGCTAATTAATATTAATATTTCATTTTATTTTAATAACTAAAATTCATATTCTACGACAAAAAACTTAAACGTCATGAATTATATATTTTGATTTTATTTTTATTTTAATTTTCATATTATTTATTTTGCTACGAATTAAAATTATCTCCGACAAACAATTTTTGTCGAAAACAATATATATTCACGCCATTTTCTCGAGCCAAACAAAATTGGGAGGGAATCACCTTTTCGCGACATTTTTAAATAAACGTTGCAAAAAAATTGACAAAAAAACGATTTGAAACAAAATTATTAAATCGTCACGAATAGTACAATTTTTGTGACGAAATAAAAACGTCGTAATTAATATTTTAATTCTAATTTAAAATTACAAAATAAATTCTAATTTGCGACAAATATTGAAACGTCACGAAATAATAATTTTTTTTAATACAAAAATAAAATTTATATTCTGCGACAAATTTATAAAAACGTCGTGGCAAAATAAATATTCTTGACAAAATAATAAAAAACGTCGCTAATTAATATTAATATTTCATTTTATTTTGATAGCTAAAATTTATATTCTACGACGATAATATGTAACATCGCAAATTAAATATTTTGACTTTATTTGTCTTTTAATTTTATATTATTTATTTTTGTGACGAATTCAAACTATCTGCGACAAAAAAAAATTTCGAAAAAAATGTCATTTTCTCACGCCAATAAAATTGGGTGGGAATCACCTTTTTGCGACGTTTTTTAAAAAAAGTCACAAAAAATTGCCAAAAAAAATTTTTGCAATAAAATTATTAAATCGTTGCGGATAGTAAACTTTTTGTGACGAATTAAAATTCGTCGAAAAAAAATGTGGCAAAAAATGATTTTTCTTGTGGTGAGCTCATTGGCTACAGAGGCAAGCTCATAGGTAAACCCATGTCCTAGCACAATTTTAAATCTTGTTTCTGAATCCATTATTAGGAGAAAGGAAGGTGTGGCCCATGCTCCGTCAAATGAGGTGAGGCAAGTTTCTTTAGTCACCACCCAAAATGTACCACTAGAAAATCAACCCCGTGGTGATGGTATATTGAAACAAGCTACCACCTGGAGCCAGGTTGTCAAGAATGGAGTGGGTCTAGACTCAAAAATTCATGGATCAGCTAATCATAAAGCCATGTCTCTTAAATTTGTTGAACCCAATAGGGATGCTCAAAGGACTGTGGTCTCTCCCCCTAGGGATATAGCTACAAAAGGCTGCAAGGAGTGCGAAGCATGCCTTGTGGGATACTTAATTGATAGCAAATTGCCCTTTTTGATGGTCAAACAACATGCCTTTAGGTTAAGGAATAGACTAGGACTCATTGAAGTCTTGGCCAATGACACTGGTTTCTTCTTTTTAAATTCAATGATGAAGCATCTAGCTCCAAGGTGCTTGAAGAGGGTCCATGGATGTTTTATGGGAAACCAATTTTGCTCAAAAAATGGCATCCCAAACTTTGTCTTGCCAAGGATTAACAATCCAAGATTCTAGTGTGGATCAAGCTCTACAACATTCCACTGGAATACTAGAATGAAAAGGGATTAAGTCACATTGCTAGTGCAGTTGGTAAGCCCCTATATGCTGATTCCCTCACTGAATCATGCAGAGGATCACCTTTGCCAGATTATGTGTTAAACTAGAAGCAGACAAGGAGGGCATTGAATCATTTGACCTTAGAATGAAGGGCGTTGATGATAATGAGGATGAAGAGGTTATTGTAATTGTTGTTGAATATTAGTTGAAACCTAGGATATGCACAAAATGCAAGGTATTTGGACATAGTAACTCTAACTATCCTATGGGTACAACTCAGAAAGAATGAAAACATGAAACATCCTTAGAAAAGGGCAAAGGAATGGTTATTGAACCAGGAATAGAAGAACATAATCAAGAACAGAATCAAGAGACTCTAAACAATTGCAGTATAAGTTCAAGTGACCCCCATCTTACACCACCTGAGTTATCTCAACAAATTCAAGGGGAGATTCTTGTTCCTACAGGGAATGTGGAAATCTAGGCATTCCCCATTCCTAAGGCTCGTATTGACATTGAGACTTAATAAGTTTGCTAGCCCTGTGGTTGATCTTTCTGGGATACAAGAGAACGACATGGAGAAATTAGCTTCCCTGGTGAAATGCCTCCTTAGTAGCAAAGTGAATAACATTGATGGAATTCCAATTGGTACAACTAGAAAGAAGAAAACATAAGCAAAAATCTCATAACCAAGAGAAATTTGGGGTTCCTAAAGCCCAGGGTCAAAGTTTACCCAAACCTAAAAGATCAATCTATCTTGCTAGAATATTAGAGGTCTTAACTCCACCCCTAAACAAAATGGAGATTAGGAAAATGATTTTTGAACAGCAACTTGACTTGGATGGTATAGTTGAAACCAAAGTAAGGGCTATTAATAAGGAAGTTGCTAGGAGAACCATCATCAGAGATTGGTGCTAGTGAGATAATTAAAACAATCACACATTGGGTAGGGTGTGGATTGGGTGGAATCCTAAAAGCATCAGTGTACAGAAATTTGCTGAAATGGATCAAGCTATTCATTGCAAGGTCACTCATTATGCAAGTATGAATTCATTTACACTTACTATTGTTTGTGGCTCTAATGATGCTATAAAGAAGAGAAGGTTTTGGAGGGACATGAAGGGTGTATCAAGAACTACATTTAATGATCCTTGGATAATCTTTGGGGACTTTATTATGGTTAGATCAGTTGAAGAAATTCTAGGTGGCACAACTAGGAGGACCTGGGCCATGGATGAATTTGAAAATGTCATCTATGCAACTGAGATCACTGACTTTAGATATTCTGGTGTTCAATTTACTTGGTGTAATAATATAGGTCCATGATGTACTGTTAGGAAACTGGATAGAACTATGGTCAATGAAGCATGGATTCTAAAATTTCCAATGGCAGCAACTAAATTTGTGGCAGCTGGTATTTCAGATCACAGTCCCATTGTGGTTAAAATGGGAAAAGAGATCAAAGCTAAGAAGTGTCCTTTTAAGTTCTCCAATTTCATTGCAGAGATGGAGGATTTTCTTTGCATTGTTAGTAATGTTTGGCAAGCTCAAATTAGGGGAACTTTTCAATTCCAAGTAAACCAAAAACTAAAGCTCTTGAAAGTTGAGTTCAACAAAATCAACAAGGAAAAAGTTGGCGATGTTACAATCAAGGCTATTGAGGCAAAGGAGCAACTTTCAGCTTGTCAAAGGCGTCTTAATACCAACCCCCTTCAAGATTGAGGAAGATTTTGAGGCCTTCAAGATTGGTGGGTAAATGCTTTGAGGCCTTCAAGATTGAGGAAGATTTTCTGAGACAGAAGTCTAGAATCCAATGGTTAGCAGCAGGTGACAAAAACTCCTCCGTCTTTTTCAAATCCATCTCATGTAGAAAGAAAAATTCCAAGATTATCATCATACAAAGATAGAATGGGTCTTTTGCTAGAGGAGATAAGGAAATTAAAGATGAGGTAGTGAATTTTTTCCAAAACTTGATGGGCAGGAGAAGCTCTCAGGATTCTTACAGAAGTACTGTTACACGGAACATTTTACAAAGCACCATTACAAGAGAGCAATCTCAGATCCTTAGCAATGAAGTTACTGGGGCTAAAATTAAATTAGTTTGCTTCTCTCTCAATCCCAATAAGGCTCCAAGTCCTAATGAATTCAATGGGTTTTTCTTGAAAATGGCATGGTCAATCATTAGTGAAGACAGTGTTGCTGCTGTTAAAGAATTCTTTGCCGCAGGTCTGCTTCTCAAGGAATTGAATTCAACTATTATTGCTCTTGTCCCTAAAGTCCCCAACCCTACAAGCATGTCATCTCCAAAATCATAGCAAATAGGCTTAAAATTCTACTTCCCCATGTGATCAACCCATCTCAAACTGCCTTCATAAAGGGAAGGAGAATAANGTTTCTTCTTGGCAACTTCCAGGTTCTTGTTTTTGCACATGATGTAATTTCGATTTGTAGTTTACAGGCTTTGTAATCTATGGGGAGTGTAAAATGCAACCCCCTAGACTTCCTCTACCTGCTTTTGATGGATTGACTGTAGGGTGTTGCAGTCTTAGTCCATGTTTCTTTGCTTTGTTTTATGTATCCCTTTTAGGATTGAAAGTTGCTATGTACAATTGCATATCTATATAATAAAGTAAAATACAATTCAAATCTTAAAAGATAAAAAAATTAAATTTTTATTTTTGATTTTATTTCAATAAATGATACAATAGAACACAAATTTTAGTTGTAAAATTTAAAATATTTAATATTTAATATTTGATTGGAGTATTTTTTTTGTCTAAATATAATATTTTAAACTTAAAGGGTCTAAGTATTATATACCTACAAATTTCAGGAGATCTAAGTATAATTTATGCGTGTACAAACCTTAAGGGGTTTATGTGTAATATTTTTAATGTTAGGGGATCTAAGTGATTTAGTGACAAACTTCAGGGAGTTTAGGTGTAATTTTCTCTTNCTCTCCATGCTATTAATCAGAAACTAAGATCATTTTTTTGTTCTAGAACTGAAATGAAAACAAAGGGGGCCAAGGTTGCTTAGAGTGATTTATGTGTACCCATAAAGGAAAGGGGCTTAGGATTGAAAGATTTAAGGGCTTGGAACAAAGCCCTCATGCTCAAGCATCTCTGGCACTTAATTTCTAATGAGAATAACACTTGGACCAATTGGATCAAGGAGCACCATCTTAGAGGGAAAAGCATATGGGAAGCCAAACCACCATAGGTCTGTTCATGGAACTGGAGGAAGTTGCTGCAAGTCCGGGAATTAGCAAGACCTTTCCTTTTTCATGTTATTGGAAATGGTAGGAATACATCTCTTTGGCATGATTTTTGGCATCCTAATGGACCTCTCCTTCTTAAATGGGGTCCTAGAGTAATTTATTATACTGGGATCTCTAACAATGTCAAGGTTGCTTCCATTATCCAAGGAAACTAATGGAGGTGGCCTGAAACAAATCCTAGAAACTCCAGAATTATTGATGAGATCATCCCGACTATGCCCAATTACTCCCCAACAATTGAGAATAAGGATGAGATCAAATGGCTTCCCCAAGTTAATGGCAAATTCTCTATTTCCTTAGCTTGGAATCAAATCAAGAGCAAAAAACTAGAGCTGTTGTGGTACCATGTTCTTTGGTTCAATCTGTGCATTCCTAGGGCCAACTTTATCCTTTGGCTTGCTATAAGGAATAGACTAGCCACAAAGGATAGAATCCATAATTTTACACCCAAAAGTGGAACTACTTGTGTACTTTCTAGAGCTGATCAAGAATGCCACTCTCATCTATTTTTTGAATGCTCATACTCAAAAAGAGTTTGGAGGAATGTCATTAGTAAGTGTGATTGGCCATGTCAATCTTCTTCTTGGCAGAGCCTCATTGAGGCAATGTCCACCCAATGAAAAGGCAAGCATCTGCAGAATTCCATTAGGAAACTATGTCTTGCTGTCGCTGTCTATGTTATATGGGGAGAAAGAAATCATAGAATTTTTAGTAATGATCATAAGGATCTAGGTACTACCCAGATGATGGTTTTGAATATGGTGAGAAGTAGACTTCTCTCAACCAAAATCAAGGACACCCTTCTTCATAGATAGACTGTTTCTTCTTGGCAACTTCCAGGTTCTTGTTTTTGCACATGATGTAATTTCGATTTGTAGTTTACAGGCTTTGTAATCTATGGGGAGTGTAAAATGCAACCCCCTAGACTTCATCTACCTGCTTTTGATGGATTGACTGTAGGGTGTTGCAGTCTTAGTCCATGTTTCTTTGCTTTGTTTTATGTATCCGTTGTAGGATTGAAAGTTGCTATGTACAATTGCATATCTATATAATAAAGTAAAATACAATTCAAATCTTAAAAGATAAAAAAATTAAATTTTTATTTTTGATTTTATTTCAATAAATGATACAATAGAACACAAATTTTAGTTGTAAAATTTAAAATATTTAATATTTAATATTTGATTGGAGTATTTTTTTTGTCTAAATATAATATTTTAAACTTAAAGGGTCTAAGTATTATATACCTACAAATTTCAGGAGATCTAAGTATAATTTATGCGTGTACAAACCTTAAGGGGTTTATGTGTAATATTTTTAATGTTAGGGGATCTAAGTGATTTAGTGACAAACTTCAGGGAGTTTAGGTGTAATTTTCTCTTAAAATTAATCTGATGGTTAATATTAACACCCCAAATTTAATATTAAAAATATTGTCTTAAGGGTGTGTTTCGAATAATTTTTTACAAGCACTTCTACAAATTATTTTTCATAAATATTTTAAAAAAAATAGTGTTTAAAACTGCTCCACCACTATCTCCACCACTGCCACCGTCTTACCACCACCTCCACCACTGCCACCATCTTACCACCACCATCACCACTTCTATTGCNATAACAATGTCAAGGTTGCTTCCATTATCCAAGGAAACTAATGGAGGTGGCCTTCAACAAATCCTAGAAACTCCAGAATTATTGATGAGATCATCTCGACTATGCCCAATTACTCCCCAACAATTGAGAATAAGGATGAGATCAAATGGCTTCCNAGCTACTGCACCCTACCATCATCACCATCGTTGTCGTGCGATATCACCACCACTACTGTCCCACCATCAACCCTACCACGCCCACCCCCCCCATGATCATGACAACTACTACCACCATCGCCACCCCTACCCCACCCTCACTGCCCCACTGCCAGCACCACCACCCACCACCGATTACTACCCACGACTACTACCATTACCACATTCGTCGCCTTATCCACTACAACCATCATCATCTCCTATCGTTACCACTATCACCCATCATCACTACCACTACTCACCCCCAATACAATCGGTGCTTAAATTTCTTCATCACTCCTCTACATTTGTAATTTGATTTTAGTGTTAANTCACTCCCATCTATTTTTTGAATGCTCATACTCAAAAAGAGTTTGGAGGAATGTCATTAATAAGTGTGATTGGCCATGTCAGTCTTCTTCTTGGCAGAGCCTCATTGAGGCAATGTCCACCCAATGAAAAGGCAAGCATCTGCAGAATTCCATTAGGAAACTATGTCTTGCTGTCGCTGTCTATNGTTTTATTACTTTGTGTCTTCAGGCACTGAAAATTTTTTCCATTCGAGTTAAAATGGTTGGTGACTCAAACTTTTTACTGGCAACTTGTCAAATCTCGCCTTTTAATTTATAAAGAGCGATTTAAGCANGTCATAAGGATCCAAGTACTACCCAGATGATGGTTTTGAATATGGTGAGAAGTAGACTTCTCTCAACCAAAATCAAGGACACCCTTCTTCATAGATAGACTGTTTCTTCTTGGCAACTTTCAGGTTCTTGATTTTGCACATGATGTAATTTCGATTTGTAGTTTATAGGCTTTGTAATCTATGGGGAGTGTAAAATGCAACCCCCTAGACTTCCTCTACCTGCTTTTGATGGACTGACTGTAGGGTGTTGCAGTCTTAGTCCATGTTTCTTTGCTTTGTTTTATGTATCCCTTTTAGGATTGAAAGTTGCTATGTACAATTGCATATCTATATAATAAAGTAAAATACAATTCAAATCTTAAAAGATAAAAGAATAAAATTTTTATTTTTGATTTTATTTCNTATATCTATATAATAAAATACAATACAATTCAAATCTTAAAAGATAAAAAAATTAAATTTTTATTTTTGATTTTATTTCAATAAATGATACAATAGAACAC